CCACCTGTCGGACCTCCGCGCTGAAATCCGCCTCGCGAGGTACACGAACGAGCGGATCAACAACGCCGGCCTCGTTGCCCCGACCTCCGCGAAGCACCCAGCGAGAAGGGTGCCCATCGGCAACCCTCGTGCGACAGGGGAAGTGCGGGTATCGCCGCGTTTTCCACGGCGAAGACGAACTTTCGCAGGGAAAATGGGACCTTTCGCGCCGATTAATTCGAGCTGTGCCTATTGTCCTTCAACTGGAACGTTTAGTTTTTGGTAAAATATCGGGTCTCTGAAAGCGCGAGCTTCGTCGAGAAGCGTGAAAAAACCATACGCGTGCGCGCATCGCCGCGGTACCTATTACTGCGAGCCGAATACCGCGGACGTCCCGATTACCGCGCGTCGAATTTGATGCTCGCCGCGAGCTAAAGTAAATGAAATGATCTCTGTTGCTTGAAAGGACGTCGACACTTCGAAGTTCGAGCTTCGATACTTCGAGCGTTCTTCGAGCTTTCGTGCCGAAAGATTCGCAGCTTCGTAGAAAGTCGATAAATCAATTAAAACTGCGATTACTTGTTGCTTGTATGTCACAAATAATCGATGTTAGACGCGTGAAAAATCGTGAGATTCATTTCCAGAAGATTGCACACCGTGAAATCACACGTTTTATTGCTTTTATGAAACGCCGCGGTATTTGGGCCGGCCGCGGCAATACCGACACTTGCCCTTCAACAGAATCATTGCAATTGTTGCGTCGGCATGGAACAACATTCGGATCGAGGATTCGACGACTGGTTTCACGTATCCCGGCGCCGGGCTTCGATACGAGTACCCCGTTCCCGTGTCTCTCAGTCAGTCTCCTAATTAAGGTCTAAAATATATATACATATATATTATATATATATGTATACACAGGGTGTCCCAGGTTTTAATGTTCAAACTTTGTCAGTGTATTCTATGGCACAAAGTAAGAAAAAAATGTTATGCAAACATAGGTGATATAGAGCTTTATTAAGAAGTTATAACAAAAATTCAAAATAGGAATAGTAATCGACTTGCTGTTACTGCGAGCATTGGCTTGAATAGATCAGCACATGCCGCGTGTTTATGTAAGCTGCGTTTATTAATACATTTCGAAATGTATTAATAACCGTTGTTGACAATACATGATCGACGTCGATCGAAGATTTTTTTTTATTTTTTATTTTTTTTTTTTCGTCGATTACTATTCCTACTCTGAATTTTTGTTCTAACTTCTTAATAAAGCTCTGTATGACCTATGTTTACATAACATTTTTTTCTTACTTTGTGCCATAGAGTATACTGACAAAGTTTGAACATTGAAACCTGGGACACCCTGTATGTATATACGTATATATCAGTTCCGAGCGCCGGCCGAAACTCGTCTGTCGAGGCGTCGATCATCGCCGATTCGATCCGGACCTTCGATCGGCCGATCTTCTCTTCCATGAGCAAACTACGTGTACTTCGCGAGCCGCGACTATGTACCGAACTAGTCGTGCATTGCTCCTCCCGCCTCCGTTAAAACGTAACGCTTATACTTATCGTTAGTCGCTAGTTGCTATTGTTCTGTCTCGCGCGGTTCTCTCCCCTTTTTCGACAGCGACGGTTGGTCTGCCAGCGTCAGGGCTCGAGGGCGACGTCCCGACGCCCAATCATAGGAACACATTGTCTGGCCAATACAGGCGCGCGACGGTCGGGCCCCGATCTCCCGATATTCCGGACCGATTTCTATCGACACGCCGAACGAATCGCGCCGAGAAACTGTTTCAGACGCTCCGAATTCGAGCTCCCGTCGAGATGTCGCGCGATTCTCTTTATAATCCGTGCACGAGCGAGTATAGTAAATCGTCCCTGATTGACGCTCAGACGATTTGGAAAGAGATAAGATTATTTATAACATACGATAATCGTATAAGATCCGATTATTCGAGCCTCGCGGCTCGTTTTTATTACAGTTCACAATCGGTGACTGTTGGATGTCCCGAAATTATGGCAGTTCCGAGAAACGAAAGGTTCCTGAGCTCATTTGCAATAACTTTTTCCTTTACAAAAATGTTCTCCGAGGCTTCGTTTACGAGTTATCGATGAAAAACGCTGACCAATGAGCGAGCACGGCTGGCGCGAGGAGGCCGAGCCAACAAAAGGTTGCCGCCTTGCGCCAGTCGAGCTCGCCACTCATTGGTCCGCGTTTTTCGTTGATAACTCGTTAACGGTGCCTCGGGGAAAATTTTTGTAAAGGAAGAAGTCATTGCAAATGATCTCAGGAACTCCTAATTTCCTGGAAGTGGCATAATTTCAAGACACTCTGTATAAAGATAATCGTTTCTCCTCTTCCCAAATTATCCATTTTTGTGTACAATCAGAGCGTCAATTAGGGAGAATTTACTGTACAGTGTTGTCCATAATTAGAGACTCGAAGTAACGTTTACATTGTTATCAATAAAACGAAACTTTCTATTCTCTATCGTTTCTAAAATTCTTGAAATGTGCGGGGTATTTCGGTCAAAGGATATTATTCACAATATTGTGAACAATTATAAGCTCGACGTAACCTCACGTTTTCACCGATATTTAAACAGAAGCTAAAAAATAAACTATATTCGTATATTTCTATTTTCTATCATTTCTAATATAGAAATATAAAAATATGCTACTTTGTTACGTCTTTGTTCGAATATCGCGAAAAATGCAGAAGTTAACTTTCGGTCTACAATTGTTCACAGCACTGTTAAATGCAGTTATCCTGGACGAACGAGGCCTCGCAATTTCGGTAACCGAACGATTTTGCATCCGCGCCGTTGTGAACATCGACGACATTCGTCGCGAGTTTAGTGGAAATCTGGGAACACGATTTTGATCGTTCTTGCATCCATCGATACAATGATTTGCATAATTTGCAAACAGGCTCGTCAGCCGCTTCTGAATGTGAATTTTTGAGTTCATGCGGCTACCATAGTGCCGATGCTGACGCATCGATCGTCGCGTTATTTCCCGTTATTTTCCGAGTTAATTAATTCGCTGCCTATTAAACTTTCGGAACATTTCGTAATGCCGTTATTTAAATTGGGAAAAAAATAGAATCGAGAATTGTACTAATTGCGTTCCGGGAAACGATTAAATTGCAGGCGAACTACGGGTAAAAAAAAGAGGAATCGATCGGAAGCATAGCCTATTTATTAATAGGCTTGCGATAGATAGAGCAACAGCGACGATCGACGGTTTTTCTAGACGAAATCAGAGCGAAAATTTGATTCGACGTCAAACATTGTCTCACCGAATATTTGCATATCACGGAATCAGATTAAATGGAAGTTTAAATTGTTGAATAAACGAGGTACTTTTTCGGACAAGGGAAAATCGCGCGGGCGCATTAATAAAATTGATCAAAATTAGTTACGGCCCCGTGGTTTCCAATTTTGTAATTAATGAATCACGCGCCGCTTTGCAACGGAACTTTGAAACGCTGCCAGAGAGCCACTCTCAGCAACGGCGACTAGTTCTTGCCGCTACGGTTTCCAATTTAATTTAGAAGATATTATTAATTAGCACGTAATAATATATATATATGTATATGTATATATTAACAGCGGAAACCGCGTACATTTCCGTGCTCGCGCGATGATATCACATTTCATAAATTGGAATCGTCCGTGAATTAACATTTCAACTCGACGAGTTAATATCTATGAAAGCCTTTACATCCGATCCGAAACGAAAATTTCAATCGCGTCCCCCGCACAGAATAATCCAATTTGTTAATTACTTTTACTCCCGGCCGTTTTAAACATTTCCCATCGTCTGCGACTTCCATTTAATAATGTGATACGCCGCGTGCGAAGTATTATTTAAGAAAATTTACTGTGAACATTCGCTGTAATGCTTTGGTAACGTGATTTTTACGAAGTCGAGTTGCCGTTTCATTTTTCGCGAACCCAAGGAAAATGTTTTGCTTTGCTTCTCGTTTGCAAAAAGTGCATTCGGGGACAAATTGGGCCAGCTTTGGGCCAGATGGAGCTAGCTGGGGCCAGCTTAGAGCTAGCTGAGGGCCACCTTAGGGCCAGCTGAAGGACAGCTGAGGGCTAGCTTTAGGTCAGCTGAGAGCCAGCTTTGGGCCGGCTGAGAGCCAGCTTAGGGCCAGCTTTGGGCCAGCTGAGAGCCAGCTTAAGGCCAGCTTTGGGCCAGCTGAGGGCCAGTTGAGGACTAGCTTTGGGCCAGCTTTGGGTCAGCTGAGGGCCAGCTGAGAGCCAGCCGAGGGCCAGTTAAGGGCTAGCTTTGGGCCAGCTGAGAGCCAGCTGAGGGCCAGTTAAGGGCTAGCTTAGGGCCAGCTGAGGGCCAGTTGAGGGCTAATTTTGGGCCAGCTTTGGGTCAGCTGAGGGCCAATTGAGGGCTAGCTTTGGGCCAGCTTTGGGTCAGCTGAGGGCCAGTTGAGGACTAGCTTTGGGCCAGCTGAGAGCCAGCTGAGGGCCAGTTGAAGACTAGCTTAGGGCCAGCTTTGGGCCAGTTTTGGGCCAATTTAAAGCCAGCTTTGGGCCAGTTTTGGGCCAATTTAAAGCCAGCTGTGGGCCACTTTTGGGCCAATTTAAAGCCAGCTTTGGGCCAGCTTAGGGCCAGCTAAGAAATAGCGTGCCAGAGCAGGTTCCACTAGCATAAGTCGCTTCGATTTCACCGAGCGTGCAATCAACATAGCATAAACGGCGCGCAAAATCATCGCAACTCGTACAACGATGCGAGAGCAGAAAAGTCAAGAGATTGCAACAAAACTGAAGTGTATTTAAGTCCGGCAAAATAATTGTGTCAGTGGCGCACGACCGACGTGGCACGCCGAAACGTCCCAAAAAGTAAAGATGAGAAGAACCGTTTCGCAGGACACAGATAGAAGGAGCGGAATCGGGAAGTCAGGAATTACGATCGATAGAACGATTCGGGCCGCGATGGCTTGTATATATATATATAGATATTGGCCGACCGTCGGTATTGCTCGATAATTTCAATTTTACGCGTTAGGCGTGGATCCCTCAGCCCCTGACCTGGTTTCGTGTCTCCGCTCTGCGTACGTACTCGCTTCCCCAACAATGCGGCGCCACTCGAAACGTACAAAAGGGCGGGGAGAACAGGCGCCAACGAGCATGACCGCCCTCAGCCCTTAATAAACGCGAGCCAGAAGGAGAATTCCGTGGAACAAAGCCAGACAAAAGGGGTTTGCATCGATGACGCAACAAGGAAGTCGACCCTCGACGCGGGCAAGTAGCTTCGCCCTCGGAGGAGAGCGTCAGATTAAAAAGAAAAAGAAAAACGGGAACGCGTGCAAATGAATGAATTTTTAGTCGAGCTCTCTCTCTCTCTCTCTCTCTCTCTCTCCGCAGCATCCTCGTTTTCTCTTCAGCGAATCTCGATCCGCGAGACTGACGCGTAGTCGAATGCAATTCTAAGGATCCGATTGAATTGGATTGGACGCTCGTTTGGGCGAAGAAGCGGACAGAGAATTGCAATTTCGTTTCGGGAAAGTCTTTCGATATTTTGCCGCGATTCTTGCGATCTGATTAGAAATTGTTCTGCATTGTGACAAGGCGATTATGTGCAATTTTGATTCCGGGAAGTCTTGAGATACAGGAAATTCTCTTTAAGTGAGGCTGGGATTTGGAAACAAAACTGGAGAATTTGGGAAGAGAAGATGCGATTAGTCGAGTTTCACGGCTCGTTTTTATATTCGTCGATTGTCGATAAGTATAAAAACGAGCCTCCTCTTTCCAAATTGTCCCAAATTTGCCCAATCGGAGCGTTAATTACGGGGAATTTATTGTACTTCGCTGCGGTTCTTCCGATTTAATAAGAAATATTTTCTGCATTACGAAGCAGCGATGATCTGCAATTCCGTTTCGGGAAAGTCTCCCTAATTGACGCTCAGATTGC